TGTTTTTTTCAGGTGTGGGGAGGGGTGCTGGCTGGGTTGCTGGTGGTGACAGCTGTGGCAGTTCTCTGTCGCTACCTCACTGCATCCAGGTGAGTCCCTCACTCACTCCCTCAAGCCACACCTTCAAACAATCTCCCTCCTACCACACAATCCCCCCCCTTCCCATCCCCTTCAAGCCACACAATCACGTACCTGGTTGATGGGGTTCTGAGAGTTGTTCTACTCCCCAAGCCCGGCCCGAGGCCAGGCTTGACGTGTGAGAGTTTGGTCCACCAGACCCAACACCACACAATCACATACGCATTGTGTATGGGATTGTGTAGGCTTAGTGTAGAAGCCACTGAGGTGATCAGATATATGTCTGCTATACAATTAAAACACACGCTAAGAATATCGTGCCTATACCGTATAAAGCAGCCACACACTTCTATAGTGCCACGTTTCTCATCCCTGGATGGTGAAGGGTACGAAAGGAGGCAAGCGATAAGGAAGATCCCGCCCTGGACCCCACAGCCCCACAGATCACCCGGCACTCCTCTTGGCTCTGGGGTTACGTCATTCTCATCGGTCAAGGTAGGTTGTGGTGGGTTACTGTGGGGAGTTTGGCAAGTTATTCGGGGTCTGGTAGTACAGCTGGCTTCCTTCTCGACTCACAATCGCCGATTCCGGGTTCGATTCCTGGATGGGACAGATGTAGTTGGGGTCAGTTTCCTTTCACCTAATGTCTCTGCTCGCCTAGCAGTAAATAGGTACCCGGGAGCTATGTTGTGGAGTTGCATCCTGTGAGAGAGGTCAGTAGTTCGACCTAAAGAGGGGGGGGGGGGGGGGTGGTCGATCTACCGTGGGAAACGAACGAGGGAGGAAATCAATGTAGACTTCGATACAAGCCTAACCCACATACAGACTTCCGGTCCTCGACAAAACAGAACAAAAAAGAAATTGCCAGTCGCGCATTCCGCCACTGGACCATCGAGCCTTGTACAAAGTGGTAGAGTATGCGACTTGCTATGCCGGTGTCGAACCAACGACACCGGCATTGGTTCCCACCAATGCCGGTGGGAAAAGTGTCGACAAAGAATGAAAAATTCAGATCCTTCGCACGCGGAAGATCGTGCGAAGACCAGATAATGAAAGATAAAAGTAGGGAGAGATTATGAAAAAATGCTTGGAAGTAGAGATAATTACCAGAATGGGTAATTCTGGTAATTCATGGAAATTTCTGGAAAACCATTCATGCGAGGTGACGAAGAGGTCAGTTCCAGGCGTGTTGTGGCAGACGGGAGTGGGCGAGGCGGAGCGACTCGTCCTCACTACCTGGATGATTGTCTCCCTCATTGTCGGTGTCGTGTACAAGAGCAACCTCCAAGCCATGCTCATCGTCCCCAGGGTAAGCTATCACCACACTTCATTATTCGGGCAAGAGTTTATCTTCCTCAAGACTGAAATCAAAATCTTACAAGAGCACAACTCCCGACTCTTAAAGGAAAATTCAGACAACCGGAAATATTTTGCAGGTGAAGATCCCCTTCGAGAACCTGGAGGAGTTGGTGGCGCAGAAAGACATTCCCTGGACCTTCCCTAAGGGCTCTATTGTCCACGACTTCTTTGAGGCAAGATAAACCACGCTTACAATTTTCTATGAAACTCACAATCCCCAGGCACCCACAACCCTCTTGAAAAGAAACCTTTCATACAAATAGCATTCACCTCCCTACTAAAGCCTCGTCTGAAGCCTCGCATGATAATGTTATGGATCTGAGCTTTGCCGTCACTTTATTACCTCTTGTGTTCTTGAGAATAGCCTCATAATGCACCCAAAACATTTGCCAGTGTAGGCTACTGATCACATGGCCCTGTACACAGAGATGGGATGAGGGACTTTTTGTAATATTCGCTACATTATTCACTTCCGTGTGTGAGGGTGGGAAGTCTTTTCGCCCCTGCAGGCAGCCTACGGTGAGGACCCACACTCCACCATGGGGCGAGGCTGGGCCAGGCACGGCGACCTTCTCCTACACCCCAAGTTCATCATTCCAGCAACCATAAGTGGTGTGGCAGGTGTGTGGAGTGTAGGAAACATGCAGGTGTATATTGCATGCACATGTATGTGGCGTGCTTCTGTGTGCAGTCCGTCCTCCTAAGGTTTCTCAACGTCAAGAAACTGTCGTACTAAAGCGCCCTTATCCTAACCTACCAGAGGACCCAAAACAGAAACCTGGACAGTATGTCAATTTTGCGAGCTAGACAGCAACCATTTTCTAGTAAGGCAATTTGTGGCCTTAGGTAGAGTATACGTCAAAATGCGACGTTCTATTGGACGGGTTGGTGTATGTGGCATACGAGTATATATGCAGCACTTGCACAATTATACTTACCTAGTTATACTTGTGAAGGGAGAACGAGTGGGGGGGGGGGAGGCGAGACGTTGGGCAACTTTTCTCAACCCGTAGTCGACTATGCTTCAGAACCCCTTTGATTAGTTATTTACATTTACATTTTTTTTTACACGTGGGTACGTGAGCCGACTCATATTAGCAGACAGTTTCCCAAACCACAGTTCATGATAAGTCTAGCCCACTAGTTTTCTCTGGAACACCACCAGCCAATTTGTTAACAGGTGGCCAATTACTGTTGGATGAACCAAAATCAAACGCTCGCGAAGCGAAGGGCGAGTGTATAACCACTGCGCCACAAAGAGCTTCTAAGTGCTATCAATTTTTTCACTATTCTGACACGAATCGTATTTTTTCCCAAATGTCTCTGTGGCTCGTCTGGGAACTTTTTATTTGTATCCTCTTGGCTGCCTTACCAATTCCCCCAAGTCTTGTGTATGTGGAGATGATGTCTCCTTTTCTTCTCTCCTCCAGTAACGTAAGAGTCAACTACTTCAACCTTTCCTAGCAGGTCACACCCTTCAACTTCTCCAGTTTCGTTGTGTGGAGGGAGGAGAGCCGTGAGCATATACAGCCCGAAGCCTAACAAAAGTCAAGCCCAACACAAGCCGGAGAGAAAAAACACAAACGTGAAGCTAATACTAAAATCATAGAACAAATAATGACCTAAAACCTCCCTACAGGACAAATATAGAACTGCCGGCACTTAGCTTGAAGGCGCCGGGTTGCCCACGACTGGCGGAGCGGAGAAATACAGGTATAACAGCCCACTATGATATAGGAAACACAACTGCCCAGGTCACCAGGTGTGCCGGTCTGAGGGCAGGCGCCGGGGCCTGGTGGTGGCGATCGGTACTATCTAACAGTTTTGAGTCAATAATTTGAGTTGTGTGAATGCCTTGTTTGGCGTGAATTGTTTGCAGAGCTGTGCAATCGTTATCGAGGTTCCGGTTTTTGTGAATCCTCCAGATATTTGTATACAACCCGTCCTCCTAATATAACGTCGCATTTTGACGTATACTCTACCTAAGACCAAAATCTGTCGTACTCGAAAATGGTAGGGACTTGCGAAACTGATATACTGTCCCGTTTTCTGTTTTGGGTTCTCTGGTAGGTTAGGATAAGGGCACTTTAGTACGACAGTTTCTTGACGTTGGGGAACCTTAGGCGGACGGACTGCTGTGTAAAGCTTCATGACTTTCTGGACAGTTTCCTGGTGGGGCGGCCAGTTATCCCAGGCTCCCTGCTCCTCTGTGAGGGGGTTAGGGTCTGTCTCTCTCTGAATGATTTAATCCATAGTCTTTAACTGCCGTTTATGCGTTATATGAGAACCTTACCACTGAAGGAACAACTTCCTGTGACTCAAGTGTGACATCCACAAGACCAAAGCAGCAAGCATGGGGCAAAAAGAGGTTCAAGTCTTAACCCAAGTGTCGTAAAAATAAACTTAAGTCTTAGTTTTTTAGTTTGTTTTTACCATATTATGCTTGTATCGCAAGTTGTATATGTACTTTTTCCAAAATAAATATAAATATTATTATTATGTGTGACAGCTGTTATCTTAGCTGAACAATTTAACACACAAAATACACTCAACATTTGTATCAACGGTAAAAGCTAAGGCTTTTCAACACACCGTCTATGCATATTACATAAGGGGCATAACTAGCCAGTCTCTCAAAGTGTTCAAAAAGAGAACTTTTGATAAGCAACGAACAGCGGCGACTGATAGCCTAATTGACCAGCCCTCCAAAGTAGACGGTCCCTGAGGAGCTCTGAGTACCCACAAGGACGACCCTTGGAGAGCCTCTTGTCTTTCATGTAAAACTTCACAAGGAAAAATCATTATTTTTTGCAGACATGCCACAAAGTCTAGTGAAGCCGCTTCGCATCTCTCTACAGTTTACGTTCAAATTCAAATTCAAATTCAAATTTTTATTCGGTAAGAGTACATACATAGATGAAGAGTTACAAATATAATGTTGGATTTATAGATAGTACATACAATACCTGAAGCCACTAATACGCATAGCGTTTCGGGCAACCAATAATGACGTTCTTCCATTATTAGATTACATGGACCCACACAGCTTTCCAGTTTGCATTCGTTTCCTCTCTGTATCTTCTCACCCACGTCTCCCCCATCTCCAGGCCTCTACACCCGCCACTCCTCGCTGTTCTTGATGGAAACAGACTTCTCCAAGGTGAGAGGCATTGTGTGGTTTACCGTTGTTATTGTTTTAGATTCAGCTACTGGGAACACAAAGATGCAAGTAGCACGGGCTATGGTGAGCCCGTAGTGGACTTACCTGGCACAGGAGCGGGGCAAGTAGCACGGGCTATGGTGAGCCCGTAGTGGACTTACCTGGCACAGGAGCGGGGCAAGTAGCACGGGCTATGGTGAGCCCGTAACTTACCTGGCACGGGAGCGGGGCTGTAACTGTCTATCGTGGGTTACGCCATAATCCATGAATTAGCGAGAAGTGAGGCAGAACAGTTAAATGAGTAAATATAAACACATAAGTTACAACACAGAATGTGAATATTTTGCAAATATTTGTTGTATACAAATTAGTGTACTAATTATGTTAATACGTCAGGAGAAAGCTTTAAGCCATTACATCCGGCAGCACGGGTCGTGCCGGATGTCCATCACCAGGGGCGGCTTCATGTTTGTTCAGTACAGCTTCGGGTTCCCGCTCGACTCCTCGCTCAGGCCCGCCGTCGACCTCATGTGAGTAAGACCTTTAGAGATAAATTCAGTAAATGTGTTGGTGTTTCATTTGAAGGTTGTGTGTAGCGAAGATGGTTACAATAATGCTACGTCTAATGAACAAATCCACAAGGGCCGTGGCGAGGATTCGAACCTGCATCCGGGAGCATCCCCAGGCGCTGCCTGACTGAGCTACGACATGGTAAAAGGAGTTGAAACCGAAGTTCTACTGAACTTACTGGATCCTGCAGCCTCTCTGAGGCACAAACCGTTGGCCCACGGCCTTTGTGGATTTGTTCATTTGATGCATCACGCAACTGTGATTTCTGTGTGTAATGCTACCTCTAGTAACTTATATTAACATTTTATCTATGAAAAATTTATCTAACAAATTAAATTATTTGTCAGCCGATCCTAATTTTAATTATTATTATTCTTTATTATTAATGTCGTCAGCTCTTTAAGATTTTCTTTGGATAGGAATATCTCCTTTCAGCTGTTGTTGCTTAAGATTCGCTACCTGGAACATACAGTTCCAAGTAGCACGGGCTATGGTGAGCCCGTAGTGGACTTACCTGGCACAGGAGCGGGGCAAGTAGCACGGGCTATGGTGAGCCCATAGTGGACTTACCTGGCACAGGAGCGGGGCAAGTAGCACGGGCTATGGTGAGCCCGTAGTGGACTTACCTGGTACAGGAGCGGGGCAAGTAGCACGGGCTATGGTGAGCCCGTAATGGACTTACCTGGCACAGGAGCGGGGCAAGTAGCACGGGCTATGGTGAGCCCGTAATGGACTTACCTGGCACAGGAGCGGGGCAAGTAGCAGGGGCTATGGTGAGCCCATAGTGGACTTACCTGACACAGGAGCGGGGCAAGTAGCACGGGCTATGGTGAGCCCGAAGTGGACTTTATTTTCTCTCTTTCCAGCATTTACCGTCTGAAGGAACTTGGCCTGCTGGAGAAGCTGCTACAGTCCGGGACGGGGAACACCACCTACTGCCTCCAGCCCCCGGGCCGCGAGAACCTCTCAGACCTGCGCACTCTGGCCGTTGGCGACTTCCTGGGCGTCTTCACCCTTTATGCCGCCGGTAATACTGCATGCTGATGGTAACACTAAATGGGCAGTTTCTTTCACGCTGATGCACCTGTTCACCTAGCAGTAAATAGGTACTTGGGAGTTAGACAGCTGTTACGGGCTGCTTCTTGGGGATATGTATGTGTGAGAGAAAAAAAAGTAGACTGACAGTTGAGAGGCGGGACCAAAGAGCCAGAGCTCAGCCCCCGCAAGCACAACTAGGTGAATACTTAAGAATGTTCTCGTACCCTGTAGGGTAGTTAACAAGTGGAATGATCTAGAAGAGGAAGTTATGGAAGCCACCTCTATCACAACTTTAAAGCCAGAATCGACAAAGAATGTGTATGACCGAGTAGTTAAGTTGGAACGCAAGAGGCATAATGCCAGTAGACGGGGCATAGAGAGCTTCACCTCACTTCCACATAGGCACCGATAGGTAAGTACTGATGAGCAAGTACACCACCCGTAACACTATAAACTACTGGTGACTGGGCAGCCCGTTCCCGCCAGCAGCTCGAACGTCAAGAAACTGTCGTACTAAAGTGCCCTTATCCTAACCTACCAGAGGACCCAAAACAGAAAACGGGACAGTACGTCACTTTCGCCAGCCGCTTCCATTTTATAGTACGACGAATTTTAGCCTTAGGGAGAGTATACGTCAAAATGCGACGTCCTATTAGGAGAACGAGTTGCATAAACAGGAGGGGGGAGGGTTCGGTGGGTGGATTAACAACCATTTGGTCTGTGTTGATGAGAACGGGCTGCCTTATGTGAGAAACTCTTGACAACTGCCACATACAACAATACACATACACAACCGTATTTATTAAATAATAACCAAGTGAATTAGTATTAAAAGTGATGTTAATCCGAGTAACAACTCCCCTTAACCCTTAAGTTTGTAGATGTGGGACCACTGCGTTGTTTTAAGGGTAGGGTGGACATATACAAGAGTAGGAGTAGGTGCATATGTTTCCACTATTCTTATGTTATCTTGACCATATAACCAGCCAGATATTACACCACTAGGCTGATGCTAATCTCATACCTCGACTCAAATGATAAACAAATCATACGAGTTTGCTAGTCATCGCGGGTACTAACTTGCCCCCACCTGTGTATTCCATCACAGGTATGGTGGCGTGCGTGGCGGCCTTCCTGCTGGAGGTGGTGTGGGGCCGCCGCCCCCCTCGGGCCTCACAGGTGACATCACCCACCAACCACTTGGCGAATACTGCTGAACCCTTGTTTGATTGATTGATGAAGATTAAGCCACGCAAAAGGTGGCACGGGCATGATTAGCCCGTAAGTGGTGGCCCTTTGGAACCATTACCAGTATCATTAGCTGATACTGGAGATCTGTGGAGGTGCGACTGCACCCTACGGAGAGGAGGTGACTTCTGCTTGTTTGATTAATTAAATGATAAGGATTAAGCCACCCAAGAGGTGGCACGGGCATGAATAGCCCGTAAGCCCTTGTTTGGTGTTGCTGATTCACTTCAATCAACCCCGAGGGAGAAGGGGTTATTAAGGCCACCATAGTTGCTTATACTGCCCCTGATGTTACTTGAAAACGAGGCATTTACAAATAACATCAATTTTTGCTTTTTAATCATATCTAAGAATATTTGGTGAAGTTTTTCTTTTTCCTTAGAAGGTAATAATCAAGTAACAATATTGACTACATTAGGCGTCCACGAGGCTACGACATTTTTCAGAATCCAATTTAGCCAGATTTGTCTATTTTAATTTATTTAAACTAATTTTCAGGCATGAGAAGAATGAATAACAAAGAGTTCAGCGATATAACCGGAAACTTGTTATTTTTTCTTTTCTGAAAATAATAAATAAATTGAAATTAATGAATAAATAACAAGTTAAAAAGCATTCTGGTTCGCATTTGGTGTAAGTGAAGCAGATTCTGAATTTTCTTAATAACTTTGTTTCCCAGGACGAGTTACGTCGAACTCAAAAGGTTTAAACCCAATAAAACGAAGCCTAAATAAACCCCTCACTTAACTTATCCTAACATAACTAAATAAATCCTAACCAAAATTATATTAACCTAACTAAATAAACCGTAAGGTATCCTAGCCTAACTAAACCCTCAATTAACTTATCCTAACATAACTAAATAAACACTAACCTAAGTTATACTCACCTAATTTAATAAATCTCACTTAACTTATCCTAAGTACCCCAACGTATCCTAACCTAACTAAACCCTCACTTAACTTATCCTAACTTAAATAAAACGCAACAACTTACCATAACTTAACCTAAATAAATAACCCTTTACTTAATTTATCGTAGCCTAACCTAACTAAATAAACCTTTGCCTAACTTCTCCTAACATAACCTCGCCTAACTAAAGCAACCCTCAACTAGTCTAATATAACCAAGTGAACCCTCACCTAACCTGCCTGTCAACGGCTACCTTTAAAAGCATAATTATCTTACCCAACAATGGTGTAAAAATCATGATAAGGGATACTTTTTCTTGAATACAACTGCAGTATAATGGCTAAATGTCCCTCATTTTATGCCTAAAATATAATTTTTAATTAAACTGATTAGCATTTCTGTTTATGATTTCATGAAGTTTTTTTTTATCTTGAGATATTACTCCGCGGGTCCTATGGGCCGCTGACTGGTTTGCCCGTTAATGCAATTCTAACTTTAAACTAATTTTAAGGTTGTTTCCCCTTGGCCTTTTACTATCAGACTTCTGGATGTTCACCAGGATGGTCAACCACTGGGGCTGGACGGTAGAGCGACGGTCTCGCTTCATGCAGGTCGGCGTTCAATCCCCCGACTATCCACAAGTGGTTGGGCACCATTCCTTCCCTCCGTCCCATCCCAAGTCCTTATCCTGACCCCTTCCCAGTGCTATATAGTCGTAATGGTTTGGCGCTTTCCCTTGATAATTCCCTCCTATTTACCACCAAAGAGGTTTCACTTTCTGTGCCTAATGATCCGAATACAAAAACTAAACTTGCTCCACAAAGGGAGTATTAAATCGGCGAGGAGTCACAATAACGTGGCTGAAAAATGTTGACCAAACCACACACTAGAAATTGAAGGAACGACGACGTTTCGGTCCGTCCTGGACCACAGTCGACTTGATAATGGTCCAGGACGGACCGAAACGTCGTCGTCCCTTCACTTGCTAGTGTGTGCTTTGGTCAACGAGTTATTAAAATCATTCAATTAATTACGAATGGGTTAACCTACCTTGGCGCCACACTGTGTCTGGCTGGAGCCACACTGGGGCTTCGTAGGAGTCAGGTCATCTCCATCTAGGTAGATGCCAACCACATCACCTGATACACCTGACTGTGATGTACACCCGTGGGGACTCACACAATTAACAGCTTAACCAGCATACGTTGAATTACCATTTACAATTATGATAATTACATAAATCTAAAGGTAAACAAAAAACAGATGAAGGTGTCAGCCTCACGTTAGGAATAAGGAAACCAACAACTCGTTAATAAAACATTGCCGCTAACATTATCGTACGCTAACGAATCAGAGAATGCGGTTATACACTGATTGATGAAGATAAAGCCACCCCAAGAGGTGGCACGGGCATGAATAGCCCGTAAGTGGTTGATTTATAGTGTATAACACCAGTTATACACTGCTGTATTAGCTAATTATGTAGATGGTAGTTTGTTGTACACCACTCACCTGTAGGAGAGTGGTTAGGTCATTAGCCGGGGCTAACAACACCAGTTATCTACGTACATACTTTTCCCCACCCACTAGGGTGTTCATCGTGGTGTTCACTTGGATATTATCACCCCAGTGTTCACCAGGGTGTTCACTAGGTGGCTGTGTTGCTCATCATTGTTCACTTAAGTGCTTATAGGAATGTACACTAGTATTCAACAGGAGTTTACTAAGGCATTCACTAGGGTGTTCACATGTATTTACTAGGATGTTCACCTGTGTTCACTAAGGTGTTCGTGTGGATGTTCAGGATGCTCACTATGGTGTTAACTAGTATTCAAGAGTGTTCATGAGGGTGTTCATCAGGGGTTTCACTATGGTGTTCACCGAGGTACTCACTAGGATGTTCCTAAGGGCGTTCACCAGGTGTTAGGTGTTCTGTAGGGTATTCACCAGGGTGTTCACTACTGTTCACCGGGGTATTTACTAGGGTGCTCACTACTTTGTACACTGTGTTCATTCAAGGTGTTCACCAGATGTTTCTAAGTGTGTTAAACGAACAAATCCACAAGGGCCGTGACGAGGATTCGAACCTGCGTCCGAGAGCATCCCAGACGCTGCCTTAATCACTCCATTCTCTAGTGTCCTCCACTGGCTCCTTCAAGAAGCCATCGACGCACCAATGGGGATAATTGAAAGTCGTCCATCTTACGAATAAAATTAAAATTTATTACCCGAAAGATGATTTTTAATATTTGTACAGTGCTATATATATATACAAGTTATATGATGAAGGAAATATAGAGGAGGGGGGGGGATGAGTGTGGTGGGAGACGGGTGTACCCCGCAAGTGAACCACCTCCCTGCTTTCCTTGTGGCCAGCACACCATCGCGTACAAGTATGTTTATTGAGACAAGGAAAAAAAAATGCTTCTCAAAGGGATAGAGTAGCTTAGGCTATTTCTATCCCCCTCTATCGCGTACATCATCACTTCAACACCACCACAATCTCACAAAAACAAAAATTTAAAGCATTTATGTTATCAGATTCGTATGTTATTGCATTATTATATGATTAATGAGATATTTTGAAATGATGCCACGTTATGATACAATGGTTGTGACCGAAGAGGCGTGGTTTAGTGGGTGCGAAATCTCGCCTTGGTCCATGGTAGCGTGGAAGGATCGCGTCGCATGTGAGTATTGTGCCAGGATTGTGGCTCCTGAACGTCGTCTTCCACAGTGAAGCCTTGTGTGTGTGTGTCTGTCCTCTCGTCCGAAGAGCCTCGTTCTGTGTTAGGCTGTCGCAGGACCTATTGCAGAACAGTGCGATCTCTTCGCTCGCATAGGCGCACCCGGCATTCTTAAATACCTAAGACTTACATACCAAACAAATGTTGTCAAAATGTGACTCGAAGGGGACGCAAACTATTCCGGGTGTCACGAAGTTGGAGAGGGTGAATGTCTCTGTTTCGCGACCTTAAGATGGTAAGAGTGGTCTTGGACTTCGCAGAGCCTCCAAGGGGTTCTGTACTCTCGCAGGCTCTCTGATGCTCGTCTTTAAAGACATTAATGCAATCAATTTACGGCCATTTTTGTAGTTTACAAATGTTCCTAATTGAGAGATGGAGTTTAGTCTTTTGTTATTAATTATTATCCAATTCGAGCCCTGTTCTATACGTACATTTTCCACACTGATTACAAGTGCGTGCAGTTAGCCACATAATCTGTGGTATGTAATGTGGTCAGTAATACGGATTTATCTATTTCGAGATGAGTGACTCACTTCAAACTAGGAAAGACTGGATGTGCCGAATAAAGATAGTGATTGAAATGTGTGGTACACGCGAGACGGTGCAAAGGCAAGTGAATACAAAGTTTCTAGGACAAGTTTCAATCAGGCTAAGGCGGTAGAAAGTATGGGGTAAGTTGGAGAGGAGTGGCAGGCAAGTTGAAGAAGAGTGTGAGATAGGCTTCGTAAGAGTAGTGTGGAATAAATTTGTAACAAGTACATCACGTCTTCAAAACAAAGTGGCCAGAGGAGACATTCCATGTTACAGCTTTCTCCTTCCCTCATTATGTCAAATGTATTATACGCACAAGTCACTCTTGACTATCGGAACTTTTCTTAAGAAAGTAGGTTTGGTGCTGGGTTTCAGGCCCATTCACCGCAGGAGGGTTATTAAAGCCACCACAATAGCTTTCTGACCAACCAGTAAGTACATTTTAGACCATAACAGTCCAGAACTAAAATAAACTCGTTGTATATACTCTTGAGATCCGGAATACAGCTCATTTGTCTATATACAACCCTTTGCTCAAAGTGCTTTTCTCGAGTGATTTGTTCCAAGCGCATTCCTCAAAATGCTTCAACTACGTGATTTAAAATAAAAGTCATTGCCAATGGAATCAAAACACTTAACCTAACCTAGAGCAACATTAGAGATCATACAGTATAATAATTTGTATTTTACTTAATACCAGTTTTTATTACACATGTTAAATATAAGAAATGCAGCTTTGAGGGCGTCTGCTTCCTGGAATGGATTTAGCTCGAGGAAAGAGTGACTAAGTTGGTCTATCCACAGTCAAGGATTGATTTCCATTTCTGATTTTTGGGGTACGAGGGTTTTCGTACTGCACTTGTCTGCATACAATGTGTATGTGCTCGTATATTCCGCAGCCAGCCGCCCACACAGGAACCACAGTCAAGTAAGACCTCGAGCAGCCACCAACTCCTCCATACCACCGCGGTTCACATTCTTCTTTACATTAAAACATGACAAGAAAATCGTCAAACCAGGTTCTTTAATTTCTAGCCGATGTTCATGTATTAAAAATGTTTGATTCTTTTTTTGTGTTAATGACAGAGTTTGACCAAGTCGACCTCGGAGACTGGAGGAACCCCGGGAGGAGAGCAGAGGTGGACCACCTTCGTGACTCGAGGCAGGGAGGTGGACAGGTGCACCAGGAGCTGTAACGTCACACTGGCCATTGGCCCCTTCTCAGGAGGAGCCCATCCAGGACACTGAAGCCAGGCTCTCTCTCTCGACCCCAGATGTTTCCAAGGGTCAACCTGCCAGGTGATGTGGGTTCACAGGCTACATAGTCTCCTCTCTTATCTTTCTCTGAGGTAAAACTGCTTCACCTACTCACTCTAACATTACGAAAATATTCATGCGGCTTGGCAAAAAAGTTAATACTTATATAAAAATACACGGAGCTCACGAGAGAGCGGGGAAGAAGGGCAATGGGATCAAGTTTATAGATTAGCTTCTGAAAAAATAAGGAGTCGCTCTGGGAAAGTTGTGGGCCTCACTGGAGGGTGAGGTCCTGCCCTCACTGGAGGGTGAGGTCCTGCCCTCACTGGAGGGTGAGGTCCTGGCCTCACTGGAGGGTGAGGTCCTGGCCTCACTGGAGGGTGAGGTCCTGCCCTCACTGGAGGGTGAGGTCCTGCCCTCACTGGAGGGTGAGGTCCTGGCCTCACTGGAGGGTGAGGTCCTGGCCTCAACGGGTCCCCGGTCAGGGTATAACAAGATCAATGAACAACCGGTCGCCAGTTCGTCACACGCCACCTTGTCGTCCTCCACTGAGTTTGGAGTCGACTGGAGAATTAATGTTTTCTTTCTAGACCCCCAAAAAATCTTATTTTCTACTTAAGGTTACTCTAGTTGTTAAAGCCTACCTGAACACAGAGCGAGAGTACTGGGGGACGCACTACACGGCCAGGAGTACTGGGGGACGCACTACACGGCCAGGAGTACTGGGGGACGCACTACACGGCCAGGAGTACTGGTAACTATCAAGTGATGGCCAGAGATTTTGATCGTCTATTTAAAACAAAACAAAAATAGGAAGAAAAGAATGAAGTCCTTTATCGTATAACATTAGACCCTCAAGATGTGCTTTATAGGATGGCAGGGGGTCTCGTGGGAAGGAGTAGTGGGGGGGGGGGAGTCGGGGGTCTCTACAGATGGTCCCAATGGGGTCACACAGGTCTGTCAGAATGAGGTCATAGGTAGCAACATTGGTCACTACCTAACACACACAGAAATCCCAGTAACGTGATATATCAGAGGAACAAATCCACAAGGCCCGTGATGAGGGTTCGAACTTATGCACGGGATGTTCCCAACTGTGCCTTAGTCAACTGCGGCACGGCATGGTCAAAAGAATTGCAACCCGGAGGGTTACTGCCCTCACTAGGATCCCGTAGCTTCTCTGAAGCCCAATCGGGTTTTCTAGTTATGAACCTAGAGAGGTCAATAGCACTCCAGGTTGCAATACTTTTAACCATGCCGTGGCACAGTTGATTAAGGCGCAGCTGGGAACATCCCGTGCCGTAGGTTCGAACCCTCATCACGGCCCTTGTGGATTTGGTTACCACCTAAGTTTATTGAGGGTGGGTAAAATATGTAATCACCAGAATGTGACTACCATGGGGTGGGGGGAGGGGGGTGGGGGGTGGGTGGGGGGAGTGGGGGGGGGAGGAGGATAAGTCCTCCAGCTGGGAGTACCTAGGATAGTGTGGGTAGGATTGGTCACTATTTGGAATCATTAGGGTTGGCTAGAAAGGGTGGGATTACAAGCGAAGTGGGACAACTCGGGATAGAACAGGATAAGTTACCAGCTGAAGCGATTGAGGGCAGGATTAGGCACCAGCTGGGTTCACCAATAATTGTGCAACCCGTCTTCCTAAGGTTTGAAAATGTCAAGAAAACGGTTAATTTAAAGTGCCCTTATCCTAACCTGCCAGAGGACCCAAAACAGAAAACGTGACAATATGTCACTTTCGCCAGCCGCTTTCATTTTCTAGTACGACGATTTAACGCATACGATCGAAAAGCGACGTTCTTTGTAAGAGGACAAGTTGAACTGTGAAGTTACCAGCTGGGAGCACTGAGGGAGGACAACGCCAGTACCCACTAAAGAGATAATGAACTGCTGCCAACACAACAAGTCAAATAGCTGCCAACACAACACGTCAAATAGCGTCAACAATGAGCACCAGGATGAACCTGAATCAATACACCATCTCAAGGCATACCTTGCTACACCCGGCAACACCACCGTAAGATACACAATGATTAAAGTTACAGAATCTGAATGACTAGAAGCAACAGGACATTACACAATGAATCACCTGAACTGCCAGTGGAAGTTTAGGGAGTTTAGCAACTTTGGAACTATCTTTAGACATGGGCGCTAATGGTGTTCTCGTCAGCACAACTCCAAAGGTGATCAATTCCTGAAGCCCACAATCACATTATACAGGAGAAGGTTATTTGAGCGAACAAGCTGGTGGGACCTGAGAGGAGAGAGAGAGAGAGAGAGAGAGGGGGAGAGAGAGAGAGAGAGAGAGAGGAGAGAGAGAGAGAGAGAGAGAGAGGAGAGAGAGAGAGAGAGAGGGGAGAGAGAGAGAGAGAGAGAGGGAGACTGCCGGGAAACACCAACGGTAATATATAGGAACTATGGCGTCCTGCGCCCACAGCCTCGGCTCCCAGAGTATATCCCCATCTAGCGTACATTCAGAATACAAAACAGCAGTCGAAGTCTTCAGAGCGTCATGCTGAGAGTATGAAACGAAGTTTGAAGTCACGGGTGCATGGCAGGTATATGAGACAAGGGAGCAACGGGTACACCAACAACACGGACACGTACGATGCAGCCTTCGCCAAATACTATACGATGTACGAGAGACATGATTCACTGTCCAAACAATAAGACAGTCGTTGGTTGTGTTGAGACCAACACCTCGTCGTCACAACTCATAGGAGTGGGCCTGGACGTGTCTTTGCCACATTCCTGCCGACGATGAATCTTAAGTGGATGAGAATTTTGTCCAGAGACTAAGGAAAGATAAAATTTGTCTTGGTGGGAGCTAGGAACAGATGTTGTCTTAGTGGAAGCTAGTGACAGGTGTTGTCTTGACGTTGACAAAGACAGGTGTTGTATTGGATGACTCGGAACCAGGCAAAGAACAGATATTGCCTGATACTAAGAACCATCAGAGTTGGAAGATGCGGCGCAGAGTATCCCAGTGTGGGACGAGAAATATCTTGTGGCATTCAAGATGGTGGGGGGGGGGGGTGATGGTAGGTGTTTGTGGTGAAAGGTCGGTGGTGTGGTAGATGATGCTGGTGGTAGATATGGTAGATGATTAAGGTGGTAGGTGTAATAGATAGTTAGTAGAAGATAAAACTGGTAGTAGTAGTAGTAGCAGTTATAACATAAAATAGCCTTCGAGAGAAAAAAAAGTTTACAAAAGGCCAAAAATAAAAAACAAAACCAAAGCAACAAAAGCCTTCAAGACATAAGTCTAATGATTACACAAGGCTCCGAAGTCTCAACATCTCCAAAGACAAGACTCATCAACACTAAGTAATCTCTATAGTGCTTCAGCACCACCATTAGCCTCTACGGCTAACAAGCAAAAACTACCCAACTGAACACTTGGTCTTCTTGAGGTCATCCTAAGATGATGTGAGGGCTTAGCGTCCCCGCGGCCCGGTCCTCGACCAGGCCTCCTTTTTGTTACACATCCCCCAGGAAGCAGCCCGTAGCAGCTGTCTAACTCCCTGGTACCTATTTACTGCATCAGGGTGAAAGAAACTCTGCCCATTTGTTTCCGCCTCCACCGGGGATCGAACCCGGAACCTCAGGACTACGAATCGCATGCGTTGTCCACTCAGCTGTCAGCCCCCCCCCCTAGAATAAAAACAACACAACAATAATTTCGTCCTCGACGACCCCCTGACGCAAGAACCGCGCGTGGTGCAGACGACACCTTAGTGAGTGTCTGCTGGGCACAGCTTAACCACATCGTAGACAACACTATTACACTGGAAACAACGCTATTACGCCGTTAACAACGCGGTGGTTAGGTCGTGTGGTTGTTGGAGGGTAGCCTCGACTCCTGCAGGGGGATTGCTACACGTTATCAGCGGACTACAAACTCTTTTTCCACAGTGAGAGAGAACTTACGGCGAAATATGGAGCACTCGTTCGCTGGCTCATAATACACTTTGAGAGGCCAGGGACACGAGGCACACTTATGGCATACAGTTCAATTTCTTTCTTTATTATGCACCCCATACTCATGGGTGGTGGAAAGTATCCTCAGAGGCAATTGACAGGTTTTCTCCAGATGGTGGTAGTGGTTACCCCCAGCTGGTGGAGCAAGGGAGAGGAAATAGTGGTGGAGGGGTAACGGTGGGGGGAAGGGGGCGGGGGTTATAGGGGGGGGGGAGGGGTTACGGTTGGGGAGGGGTAACGGGGGGGGGGAAGGGTAGTGGGGGTATGGTAGGGGGGGGGTGACCATAAAGGTATAACTACCTCATCCTTATAAACAACTAGTGTGTATTCACCTATTTGTGCATGCAGGATCGAGCTCAAGCTCTTGGACCCCGCTCTGTGTGCGTGTGTGTGTGCGTGTGTGTGTGCGTGTGTGTGTGTGTGTGTGTGTGTGTGTGTGTGTGTGTGTGTGTGTGTGTGTGTGTGTGTGTGTGTGTGTGTGTGTGTGTGTGTGTGTGTGTGTGTGTGTGTGTGTGTGTGTGTGTGACTCTTTCCAGATGCAGGAACGTTGCATATGGTATAAAACGAGTCTGACCTTTGCGTACAGAGGAAAGGTCAAGGGTCATGACCGAGGAATATCTAGGAATAAGAGGCTCAGTTCCTTGGAGGAGGAATGAGTAGGGGTTGAAACTGGTAGAGGAGAACTATATAGGGGGGTAGGCTGGGTCGGAGTGAAGGGGGGGGGGTGAGGGTGGAGGGGGGTAGACTACCCACCCTCCACACTGTTGCATGGCGCTCATAGACCTAAACAAATATATTATCACAGATCAGTTGAAACAGTAACAATTAGCACAAGAAATATAAATATTCAAAACTCGACCTTAGCACAAACAATGTCAAATTATATCCTCTTTAAGTTTGCGACGAAACTCAATACATATTTGACGAAACACCTGAAATACATCACTCTTGCATTCAACTTTAAAACACTGTTTTGTTATGTACAAAACAAACGGGACGGTACTTATGTGTAAATGCTGAGACTGTCTCCACAGCCGCCGTGCGCGACCCTGGCGAGGGGCGGCTGAGTATTGCCCAGTGTTCGCTCTGCTCCGTGCGCCTGAGCTCGGGGTGACCTTATGCTAGAGTAAGCGCGTGCAGGGTCACGCCACCAGGGGTCACAGACCATGCCAGCGGGGTCTTCTACCCAGCGAGCACCTTTCTCTTTCCGTTCCTTGCAGGGATGATCCATCGGAAGCAAGGCCCAACAGAAAACATCTTATCGTGTTTATCCAACACAACTCCTTATCCAACACAACACTGGTACGTCCTCTTCACATCCTGCACAACACAGGGAGCTGCCAGTCTTGACAAACACACCGGTGGCCATATTTACATGGCCAGCAGATCACAGGAGCCTCGTCTTCATGGCCAGGAGAGTACAATGAGTAACTTCTCTTCATAGCCTGCATAGAACAGGGACTTCTTGGCAAACAAAATACTCCTCTTGAAGGCCATCAAAGAAAGTCCTCTTCGTGGTCAGCAGAGCTCAAGGTCCTCGTGTTTGGAGCCAGCAGAACAGCGAGGCTGCGTGGGTGTCTCCAGCAGCAGAGTACACGGGCGCAGGTAAGAAGATCTACAGCAGGTTTTGGATGCTGGAACACTGGCACCACAACTGATATGTTCAGAAAACTTAACAAAGAACTCTAAAGATAATCAAATTTGTAAAAAAATAAATTCCTTCAACGTAGGACCTTTAGCATTATTATTATTATTTTTTGTTTATCTTTTTTTACAACCAGCAGAATGGAGAGTGCTATTCCAGGAGGCTTGCAATGTTTAAGGTAAACAGGGTTTTTTGTAATGTTTGCCTAATTAATAGGAATACTTTAAATGTAAAGTATCTTAGTTACTGCACCCTTGGTCAGCACTTGCCACGCTGCCATAACAATAGTTCATTCAGTCATCATTTAAAATATAAATAGCGAACACAGCGCGGCCGCGTCGTGTCAGCATCAACCATAATGACAGTCCCCCCTTAAGGAATAATCCCGCCCATTTCCAGTCTCAAGAACGCTTCTAATAAACTTTGACATCATGTACACTTGTGCTACCGTGCTCAAGGAGTCGACAGAAACCTCCTGGGAAAGCCCCGGCCAATTAGGGTTGTACTAGCGTCTCAGAGGTATTCCCTGGAGCGAGCTTTGGGTAGAGGAGGAGCTTCGGCGCGCGGGGAGGCGGCCTGCTCCAAGATCTCGTCCTCCAACATGCCCCGCACCATAGAGTCCGTCGGGGAGGTCGAGTCTGTGGGGGAGGTGCGCGGCGTTGATGCGCTCTTAACACGACTTTTGTCTCTCCTCTTAGGTTTTCTGGGTTCCTCACTAGCTGTCACTTTTGGCATAGTATGTTTAGTTTCGTCACTGTCACCCACGGCGTCGCCGGCAGTCGTCGTGGTCCGCTCCTTCTCCCGCCTTAGGGGTGGTCGTGTGAGAGGGTCGTCGCAGGTGGGCCGCACGCTCACTGGCTGCGACGATGACCGCTGCACGTAGTTTATCCTCGTCATCACGTCATTCATGTTGTCTTCAAGTTTCGTCAGCTTCTGGTTCATCCTCTGGATCTCAAGTTTGAGGTCGACCTGCGTAAGAGAAGGAAACATCATTTAGAGCCTCCTACCCGTCGTTGCTGTGCTGTGAACTCCAAAGTTAAGGGTATAAAGGGGTTCTAGTGAATGTCCACTACATCCGTCACCACTAATGACATAATTACAAAATTTGATCGTTGGCGATCAAGAGCGGTGTCTCCATAGACCGTCCCATCTCGGAACACGAAAAGTGTGATGTAAAGAGTACGGGGGGGGGGGGGGGGGGGGGAGAGTAATCTTGAGAGTATAAAGTAATCAAAAGATATCACTTTATCTTGAATAAAGTTATCTGTGTTCACTTAATGTAGAAAGACAAACAAGTAGTTTATTTTACCTCCAATCTTTCTGCCACTCACCCACGTGAGGGGAGTGATCTCCATGATGAACTTAATGTAACTTTCACTGTGCTAGATCCGCTGAGGTCACCTGTACATTGGTTTGACCAAAACTGCGAATAGAGTGATGATTGTATTGTTCCATGTAACTGGCTTACCTCGGATGTAAAGGCCCTGCCTTACTTTGAAGCCCTACCTTATGAGGTAGGGCCACGAGGCTGGCCTTACCTTACCTAGACGCCCACGAGGCTGGTCCTCCCTTACCTAGACGCCCACGAGGCTGGTCCTCCCTTACCTAGACGCCCACGAGGCTGGCCCTGACTTACCTAGACGCCCACGAGGCTGGTCCTCCCTTACCTAGACGCCCACGAGGCTGGCCCTGCCTTACCTAGACGCCCACGAGGCTGGTCCTCCCTTACCTAGACGCCCACGAGGCTGGCCCTGCCTTACCTAGACGCCCACGAGGCTGGTCCTCCCTTACCTAGACGCCCACGAGGCTGGCCCTACCTTACCTAGACGCCCACGAGGCTGGTCCTCCCTTACCTAGACGCCCACGAGGCTGGCCCTGCCTTACCTAGACGCCCACGAGGCTGGTCCTCCCTTACCTAGACGCCCACGAGGCTGGCCCTACCTTACCTAGACGCCCACGAGGCTGGTCCTCCCTTACCTTACCTTAAAGTCCATGAGACTGGCGATGATCTGCTGACAGTCGACAGGGGTGACGCCGGGGGTGACTGGAGCGATGTAGTCCATCACGTGACCAGAGTCGTTATCCTGCAGCTTATTCTTATGGTCCCGCACGACCCCAGAGTCCAGTGAGTCCAGTTTGTTCAGCTTGAACTTGGCGCTGCCTTCCAGAGCGAGAGTCTCCTGTAGAACACGTTACAAGTCAGCTTTTGAATTCGAATTTTGAATTTTGAATTTGAATCTGAGCTATAAGGGAAGGCCTACCGCCTCTAGAGTGCTCAGGGGCCGTCATGATTTGTGCTGATGGTGAAACTGAGCAGCGGATAGTGATGATCGCTGATAGTGATCACTATACGCGGCTTTAACGCTTTGAAGCTACTGACGGTTTTGGCCTCCACCACCTTCTCACTTAATTTGTTCCGACCGTCTACCACTCTGGTGGATGACGGTGGTAAGACATGCAAATGGCTTCCTGAACTGAAAGACAAAAGCTACAAGGAGAGGTTGGAAGCATTAAATATGCCAAAGTTAGAAGATAGAAAAAAGAGATGACATGATCACTACGTACAAAATAGCAACATAAATCGACAAAATCGATAAAGAAGAATTTTTGACATCTGGAACAAGAGGTCATAGATTTAAACTAACGTAACAAAGCTACCGAAAATACATTAGAAATTTCACTTTCGCAAACAGAGTGGTAGACGGTTGGAACAGTGAGAAGGTGGTGGAGGCCACAACCGTCAGTAGTTTCAAAGCGTTATACGACAAAGAGTACTGGGAAGACGGGACACCACGAGCGTAGCTCTCATCCTGTAACTATACTTTGGGTAATTACACACACACACACACACACACACACACACACACACACACACACACACACACACACACACACACACACACACACACACACACACACACACACACAGACACACACAGTTTGGCTGCAAGCTGAGGTTCAAGTAACTAGTACAAACATAATCATGAACTCTTAAGTAAAGATCAATACACCAGGAGGTAGAAGAGAAACTGCACCAAGTTAACTCTGGCGTCACATGCACACCCCCCCCCCCCCCCCTCCCCCCCCCCCAACCATCAACATGCTCCGCGTCTCTGAAAGAAATTAGCGATTACGAAACGAAACAATTTCCTACACACTCTACTAAGTTCTTTTCCAACACTCAACAAACCACAACAGTCACATGCAACAACATGCACAAGGGGCAAAAAATAAGACTGGGAAGCAAATTTCAAATTGAAAATCATATATTATTTCCATTTCATTTTGGGTTTTTAAATGTTCTACATATATTATCTGAGGAGTGGATTACGCTTCCTCTTGGGGTGGGTATTGGGGCACGCCCCCTATGTAAGCACAGGGCACGTCTACCCAAGCACAGGGCACGTCTACGCAGGCACAGGATACGTCTACGTAAGCACAGGGCACGTCTACGCAGGCACAGGATACGTCTACGTAAGCACAGGGCACGTCTACGCAGGCACAGAATACGTCTACGTAAGCACAGGGCACGTCTTCGCAGGCACAGGGCATGTCTACGTAAGCAGAGGGCACGTCTACGCAGGCACAGGATACGTCAACGTAAGCACAGGGCACGTCTACGCAGGCACAGGATACGTCAACGTAAGCACAGGGCACGTCTTCGCAGGCACAGGGCACGTCTACGCAAGCACAGGGCACGTCTACGCAAGCACATGGCACGTCTACGTAAGCACAGGGCACGTCTACGTAAGCACAGGGCACGTCTACGCAGGCACAGGGCACGTCTACGTAAGCACAGGGCACGTCTACGCAAGCAGAGGGCACGTCTACGCAGGCACAGGGCACGTCTACGTAAGCACAGGGCACGTCTACGTAAGCACAGGGCATGTCTACGTAAGCACAGGGCACGTCTACGCAAGCAGAGGGCACGTCTACGCAGGCACAGGGCACGTCTACGTAAGCACAGGGCACGTCTACGTAAGCACAGGGCATGTCTACGTAAGCACAGGGCACGTCTACGCAAGCAGAGGGCACGTCTACGTAAGCACAGGGCACGTCTACGTAAGCACAGGGCACGTCTACGCAAGCACAGGGCACGTCTTCGCAAGCACAGGGCACGTCTACGCAGGCACAGGGCACGTCTACGTAAGCAGAGGGCACGTCTACGCAGGCACAGGCCACGTCTGTGCAGGCACAGGGCACGTCTACGCAGGCACAGGGCACGTCTACGCAAGCACAGGGCATGTCTATGCAAGCACAGGGTACGTCTACGCAGGCACAGGGCACGTCTACGCAGGCACAGGGCACGTCTACGCAAGCACAGGGCATGTCTATGCAAGCACAGGGCACGTCTACGCAGGCACAGGGCACGTCTACGCAAGCACAGGGCATGTCTATGCAAGCACAGGGCATGTCTATGCAAGCACAGGGCACGTCTACGCAGGCACAGGGCACGTCTACGCAAGCACAGGGCATGTCTATGCAAGCACAGGGCACGTCTACGCAGGCACAGGGCACGTCTACGCAAGCACAGGGCATGTCTATGCAAGCACAGGGCATGTCTATGCAAGCACAGGGCATGTCTATGCAAGCACAGGGCACGTCTACGCAGGCACAGGGCACGTCTACGCAAGCACAGGGCATGTCTATGCAAGCACAGGGCACGTCTACGCAGGCACAGGGCACGTCTACGCAAGGACAGGGCATGTCTATGCAAGCACAGGGCACGTCTACGCAGGCACAGGGCACGTCTACGCAAGCAGAGGGTCAAGACCAACAGGAATGCGACTCCACTGGAGACACCACACGGCCTGCAAAGCCTCAGCAGGCCGTGGGTGGGGAACAACATAGGCAGTCACATGTTACAGGCTTTGCTACGGACGCTACAAGCTGCAGCAGGAGATACACACAGACTCTGGAATACGCTACAGGCCAAGTCAGGTGAGCTAACGTACAGGTACAATGCTCCAGGATGAGATGAAGCAGTACAAGCTTCAATATACACTTCAAGGACCACAGAAGCTTACGATAGGACCACAGAGGATTACGATAGCCCCACAGAAGTTTGCGTAAATAGCTTACTACTGGCAGCGGTCCGGGACAATATACGCCACAAGCACTAAGGATTCGGTGTCTACAGACAAGTAACTACGCTACAGCGGGTGTTGAGGATAATACAATCAGTCAATGTTAGAAAGCAGGTTCTAGTTCAAGGCTAACACGTCATAAGCTGTGGCAAGCGCTTGAATTTACCTGAGGGGCCACTAAGACTTAGACTTAGTGGCCTCGATGAGGACAGGAAACCGGCGGCTTGTCTAAGGTCCTCCCATATGTGAGGGAGGGAGGGAGGGGAAGGGAGAGAGGGAGGGGAAGGGAGAGAGGGAGGGGAAGGGAGAGAGGGAGGGGAAGGGAGGGAGGGCGGGGAGGGGAAGGGAGGGGAAGGGAGGGGAGGGAGGGGGGGGAGGTAAAACAAACTAGGCTGTTTTTCTTTTACCTTTTTGACAACAGTCTTGGTACTGATGTTATTGTTGTTGTTGTGGTTGTTGTTGTGGTTGTTGGGCGCCGTGGTGGGGGTGGTGGAGGTGGTGGTGTTGTTGGCTCTCTTGGGTGTCACCCCCAGGGCCTGTTAGGGTCAACCACAACCACCCTGTTAGGCCCTGATGACTGTTACACACACACACTCACACACCAGTTGATTAACAGTTGAGAAGCGGGACCAAAGAGCCAAAGCTCAATCCCCGCAAGGACAAATAGGTGAGTACAAATAGATAAGTACACACACACACACACACACACTTATAACATCAAGTTACAATAAGTGAAGGACACTTAACCTCACAAGCCTCGAGGAGAGAAGGAACAAAGAGGGTAAATGATCCCTACATACAAGATACTGAGGGGGGGGGGAAATAGTTAAGGTGGACCAGGACACCGTCTTTAAAGTCAGAGACAATACGACAAGAGAGCATCAGTGGAAGCTGGAAATACAAATGACAACGAAGAACTCTCAAGGAAATACTAGTAGTCTAAGTCTCGTCTAAGTCTTAGACGAGTCTAAGACAAAGAGTAGGAAATACTAGTAGTCTAAGTCTCGTCTAAGTCTTAGACGAGTCTTAGACAAATGAGAACTAAGAACTCTCAAGGAAATACTAGTAGTCTAAGTCTCTAAGTCTCGTCTAAGTCACGAGATTCACTGAGAGAGGAAGTCTTGGAAGCCACCTCCCCACCCACGACCTCAAGAACAGAGACGACACAGAACTCAAATGATGAACGCCGTTACAAAAACACGACTCAGACACGACAAGGACAGCAGCAGTGAGAGGGGCGGGGGAGAGCGGTTGCCTCTACACCACCAGAGCGGCTGTGTGACACTCTCAGACACGACAAGGACAGCAGCAGTGAGAGGGGCGGGGGAGAGCGGTTGCCTCTACACCACCAGAGCGGCTGTGTGACACTCTCAGACACGACAAGGACAGCAGCAGTGAGAGGGGCGGGGGAGAGCGGTTGCCTCTACACCACCAGAGCGGCTGTGTGACACTCTCAGACACGACAAGGACAGCAGCAGTGAGAGGGGCGGGGGAGAGCGGTTGCCTCTACACCACCAGAGCGGCTGTGTGACACTCTCAGACACGACAAGGACAGCAGCAGTGAGAGGGGCGGGGGAGAGCGGTTGCCTCTACACCACCAGAGCGGCTGTGTGACACTCTCAGACACGACAAGGACAGCAGCAGTGAGAGGGGCGGGGGAGAGCGGTTGCCTCTACACCACCAGAGCGGCTGTGTGACACTCTCAGACACGACAAGGACAGCAGCAGTGAGAGGGGCGGGGGAGAGCGGTTGCCTCTACACCACCAGAGCGGCTGTGTGACACTCTCAGACACGACAAGGACAGCAGCAGTGAGAGGGGCGGGGGAGAGCGGTTGCCTCTACACCACCAGAGCGGCTGTGTGACACTCTCAGACACGACAAGGACAGCAGCAGTGAGAGGGGCGGGGGAGAGCGGTTGCCTCTACACCACCAGAGCGGCTGTGTGACACTCTCAGACACGACAAGGACAGCAGCAGTGAGAGGGGCGGGGGAGAGCGGTTGCCTCTACACCACCAGAGCGGCTGTGTGACACTCTCAGACACGACAAGGACAGCAGCAGTGAGAGGGGCGGGGGAGAGCGGTTGCCTCTACACCACCAGAGCGGCTGTGTGACACTCTCAGACACGACAAGGACAGCAGCAGTGAGAGGGGCGGGGGAGAGCGGTTGCCTCTACACCACCAGAGCGGCTGTGTGACACTCTCAGACACGACAAGGACAGCAGCAGTGAGAGGGGCGGGGGAGAGCGGTTGCCTCTACACCACCAGAGCGGCTGTGTGACACTCTCAGACACGACAAGGACAGCAGCAGTGAGAGGGGCGGGGGAGAGCGGTTGCCTCTACACCACCAGAGCGGCTGTGTGACACTCTCAGACACGACAAGGACAGCAGCAGTGAGAGGGGCGGGGGAGAGCGGTTGCCTCTACACCACCAGAGCGGCTGTGTGACACTCTCAGACACGACAAGGACAGCAGCAGTGAGAGGGGCGGGGGAGAGCGGTTGCCTCTACACCACCAGAGCGGCTGTGTGACACTCTCAGACACGACAAGGACAGCAGCAGTGAGAGGGGCGGGGGAGAGCGGTTGCCTCTACACCACCAGAGCGGCTGTGTGACACTCTCAGACACGACAAGGACAGCAGCAGTGAGAGGGGCGGGGGAGAGCGGTTGCCTCTACACCACCAGAGCGGCTGTGTGACACTCTCAGACACGACAAGGACAGCAGCAGTGAGAGGGGCGGGGGAGAGCGGTTGCCTCTACACCACCAGAGCGGCTGTGTGACACTCTCAGACACGACAAGGACAGCAGCAGTGAGAGGGGCGGGGGAGAGCGGTTGCCTCTACACCACCAGAGCGGCTGTGTGACACTCTCAGACACGACAAGGACAGCAGCAGTGAGAGGGGCGGGGGAGAGCGGTTGCCTCTACACCACCAGAGCGGCTGTGTGACACTCTCAGACACGACAAGGACAGCAGCAGTGAGAGGGGCGGGGGAGAGCGGTTGCCTCTACACCACCAGAGCGGCTGTGTGACACTCTCAGACACGACAAGGACAGCAGCAGTGAGAGGGGCGGGGGAGAGCGGTTGCCTCTACACCACCAGAGCGGCTGTGTGACACTCTCAGACACGACAAGGACAGCAGCAGTGAGAGGGGCGGGGGAGAGCGGTTGCCTCTACACCACCAGAGCGGCTGTGTGACACTCTCAGACACGACAAGGACAGCAGCAGTGAGAGGGGCGGGGGAGAGCGGTTGCCTCTACACCACCAGAGCGGCTGTGTGACACTCTCAGACACGACAAGGACAGCAGCAGTGAGAGGGGCGGGGGAGAGCGGTTGCCTCTACACCACCAGAGCGGCTGTGTGACACTCTCAGACACGACAAGGACAGCAGCAGTGAGAGGGGCGGGGGAGAGCGGTTGCCTCTACACCACCAGAGCGGCTGTGTGACACTCTCAGACACGACAAGGACAGCAGCAGTGAGAGGGGCGGGGGAGAGCGGTTGCCTCTACACCACCAGAGCGGCTGTGTGACACTCTCAGACACGACAAGGACAGCAGCAGTGAGAGGGGCGGGGGAGAGCGGTTGCCTCTACACCACCAGAGCGGCTGTGTGACACTCTCAGACACGACAAGGACAGCAGCAGTGAGAGGGGCGGGGGAGAGCGGTTGCCTCTACACCACCAGAGCGGCTGTGTGACACTCTCAGACACGACAAGGACAGCAGCAGTGAGAGGGGCGGGGGAGAGCGGTTGCCTCTACACCACCAGAGCGGCTGTGTGACACTCTCAGACACGACAAGGACAGCAGCAGTGAGAGGGGCGGGGGAGAGCGGTTGCCTCTACACCACCAGAGCGGCTGTGTGACACTCTCAGACACGACAAGGACAGCAGCAGTGAGAGGGGCGGGGGAGAGCGGTTGCCTCTACACCACCAGAGCGGCTGTGTGACACTCTCAGACACGACAAGGACAGCAGCAGTGAGAGGGGCGGGGGAGAGCGGTTGCCTCTACACCACCAGAGCGGCTGTGTGACACTCTCAGACACGACAAGGACAGCAGCAGTGAGAGGGGCGGGGGAGAGCGGTTGCCTCTACACCACCAGAGCGGCTGTGTGACACTCTCAGACACGACAAGGACAGCAGCAGTGAGAGGGGCGGGGGAGAGCGGTTGCCTCTACACCACCAGAGCGGCTGTGTGACACTCTCAGACACGACAAGGACAGCAGCAGTGAGAGGGGCGGGGGGAGAGCGGTTGCCTCTACACCACCAGAGCGGCTGTGTGACACTCTCAGACACGACAAGGACAGCAGCAGTGAGAGGGGCGGGGGAGAGCGGTTGCCTCTACACCACCAGAGCGGCTGTGTGACACTCTCAGACACGACAAGGACAGCAGCAGTGAGAGGGGCGGGGGAGAGCGGTTGCCTCTACACCACCAGAGCGGCTGTGTGACACTCTCAGACACGACAAGGACAGCAGCAGTGAGAGGGGCGGGGGAGAGCGGTTGCCTCTACACCACCAGAGCGGCTGTGTGACACTCTCAGACACGACAAGGACAGCAGCAGTGAGAGGGGCGGGGGAGAGCGGTTGCCTCTACACCACCAGAGCGGCTGTGTGACACTCTCAGACACGACAAGGACAGCAGCAGTGAGAGGGGCGGGGGAGAGCGGTTGCCTCTACACCACCAGAGCGGCTGTGTGACACTCTCAGACACGACAAGGACAGCAGCAGTGAGAGGGGCGGGGGAGAGCGGTTGCCTCTACACCACCAGAGCGGCTGTGTGACACTCTCAGACACGACAAGGACAGCAGCAGTGAGAGGGGCGGGGGAGAGCGGTTGCCTCTACACCACCAGAGCGGCTGTGTGACACTCTCAGACACGACAAGGACAGCAGCAGTGAGAGGGGCGGGGGAGAGCGGTTGCCTCTACACCACCAGAGCGGCTGTGTGACACTCTCAGACACGACAAGGACAGCAGCAGTGAGAGGGGCGGGGGAGAGCGGTTGCCTCTACACCACCAGAGCGGCTGTGTGACACTCTCAGACACGACAAGGACAGCAGCAGTGAGAGGGGCGGGGGAGAGCGGTTGCCTCTACACCACCAGAGCGGCTGTGTGACACTCTCAGACACGACAAGGACAGCAGCAGTGAGAGGGGCGGGGGAGAGCGGTTGCCTCTACACCACCAGAGCGGCTGTGTGACACTCTCAGACACGACAAGGACAGCAGCAGTGAGAGGGGCGGGGGAGAGCGGTTGCCTCTACACCACCAGAGCGGCTGTGTGACACTCTCAGACACGACAAGGACAGCAGCAGTGAGAGGGGCGGGGGAGAGCGGTTGCCTCTACACCACCAGAGCGGCTGTGTGACACTCTCAGACACGACAAGGACAGCAGCAGTGAGAGGGGCGGGGGAGAGCGGTTGCCTCTACACCACCAGAGCGGCTGTGTGACACTCTCAGACACGACAAGGACAGCAGCAGTGAGAGGGGCGGGGGAGAGCGGTTGCCTCTACACCACCAGAGCGGCTGTGTGACACTCTCAGACACGACAAGG